TTTTTTTTTTTTTTTGGTTGTAAGAATAATTTAACCTTAGATAGAAACCTGCACTGCATTCATCAAATTATTCAATACACAGACATATTTATTACACTTCAATTTATAACAGTAATAAATAAAATCAAGTTTTTCATCATCATGTCTGCACGCATGCCACATTCATATTGCTGCTGGTAAAAATTGGAGGAAAACCCGAAAAAATACCTATAGTCGAACATTTGATTTCTCCATCGATGGTATCCACAGCCGTCAACACAAACACAAATCGGAGAAGGAAAGTAAAGAACAAAAGCGAGTAGAAAACCATTCGGTAAGACAATCTCCGGTTGCCAATTTTCACTTTTATAAACTCCCGAAAACCTTTTGCAGGCAAAACCGTGACGTGCCTCAAGCTAGGCGATATGTGCAGCTGCATTTCCAGCCCCGCCCCGACTTTCTTTCCCGCCCAAAAGTAGAGAGAGAAGAAAAGGAGGAAAAAAAAACCACAATGCAGCCTGGAAAGTGAATCCCAAATGTCTGAGGAATCGAAAGAGATGCTGTAAAAAAAGGGTAGCCCCAAGGGGTGTTTAAGGTTGCTGTCACTCACCTAACCTTGCTTAGTAAAGAGGTTATTAGGTATAAGGTTTTTGTTTTTCCTTTTCTTGGAATACATATGTGAGTGTTGTTTTGCCAGACAAAACACAAGTTTGTTTGAGAGAAAGAGACTGGAGACTGAGAAGAAGACATATGGCGTTCTCGCCTATTTTTCGGTTTTTTTTTTTTCTTTTCGTATTTTTCCTCCTTGTTGCCTTGCCCTTGAAGGAGGTGAGTTAGAACTTGTGAAATATATGTGTATTTTTCAATGTGGGAAAAAGGGTTTGGTGTTGCTTCAATTTGCCTCCACATTCTTGAAGTATATCATATGGTTTGTTTGGCCTTCTGATATAACAGAGTATCTAAATGGAAAATGACTCCTCCATATGTTGTTTTCTTTATTTTATTTTAAAAATTACCTCCTTTACTTTTTTTCACTTTCTTTTTTTGTATGATTATGTATGAAGATTGGATATCTGAATGTTACTTGAGTAAATATTGTTTATTACTTTATTATTATTATTATTATTATTAATGTAAAATGAAAAAGGTTATGCACTCTATGCATGTGCATTAGGTGTAAAAATTGACTGGTTTGATTTTAACTGCGGTAATAATTTGCTTGTATTGTGAGGTTCCTTCTGGGGTTGGTGTCTTTGTTTTTTCGTTGCTAATAAACAATCGATATTGTTGGGGTCTCGTACCCTCGACAAGTACCGATTTAAGTACCGATTTCCGGTACTTAGGCATTAGCCTCTCTGTCTGTACCCAAAAAAAAAAAAAAAAAAAAAAAGAACAATCGAAAAGTTCACTTAATTACACTACATGATAATGAATGAATACATTTTAATTGGTTTTTGTCAGCTCCTTGTCCCTAACTTACTAGAGGCTCGGAAAATAAAGAGAAGAGGCCTTATTTGATATTTTTACAAGAGCCCCTTAGTTAATATGCAACATACATATGAGAAATATAATTGAAATTTTGTTTTGTCTTATGTTGATCCTTTATGATGAAAAGTCAAAATTCTGCGTTAAATGTGTAAATAAAATATCATATGTATTGATAAGAATTACCCTAAGGCTTGATATTTTTACAAGAGCCCCTAGTTAATTTAAAAGTTACATATAAGATATAATTGAAATTTTGTTTTGTCTTATGTTGATTCCTTTATGATAAAAAAGTCAAAATTCTGCGTTAAATGGGTAAAAGTATGATATGTATTGATTACTAAAAGTACCCGGCTTGATATTTTTAAAAGAACCCCAAGTTAATTTAAAACATACATATAAGGATAATAATTGAAATTTTATTTTGTGATCACTTAATGATAAAAAGACTTATAGCCCCTTGAGCTACCTACTTGGGGTTCTTCTGCGAAGAAATTATGACCCTCAAGCTTGTCTGCTCGAGGTTCTACCAAACATAAAGCCCTCAAGCTCGTCTACTAGAGGTTCTTCCAACCTTAAACTCATGGCCCCTGAGCTCGTCTGCTCGAGGTTCATCCTTGTAAACAAGTTATTAAATTGTTTTGATTAGATTTAAGGTGCTGAATACGCTGCAAAATGAGGAATATTGAGGTCGGGTGTTTTGTGATTGAGCTCGGGTGCTCGTACTAATTAGTGAGAAAATATGTCTTTGGTTTTGAGAATTCTCTGAACCCTTTTATAATAAATTCTTAAGAAGTTTTATAGTTAGAGTGGCCTAGTTATTGTTCCTCGGGCAATACAATCAAGCATTAATTTGAAATGACACAATTTAATGTGACATATGACCTTACGGGGCTATGGCACGTAGGTTGATAGGCTTTTAGTAGACGTGTTCCATCTTTCATGATTCTCTTTTAAATTGTCATTATTTTAATAATGTCTGCCACCTTAGTGTGCTTAGCTCGGATTTTCGATGCTTACTCTTGACTTACTTATCCAAGTTTTGAGTTTGATTTTGTTGATTGGTTGTTTCCAAATCGTGCATGCGCCTGTGGTTACCTGACCTGGGTGTTACGCCTACTTCTTGCTCGGCTCTCAATTGTCCGTACTTTTGGGGTTTGCTTCGCTGGTAATTCCCCGATTCGAGCACTCAACTATTTCTTCATTTAGCGATAGCATTTAATTCCGGATCTACCCAACTCATATCGGATGTCAACAAATGAAATATCATCTTTATTTTATGTTTAAATAATTCGTCCAATGTTCCATCATATTTTTTTTTATAATTATATGTCAGTTATTCAAATATACGTTAGACCAATTAGAAGAGTTTTCAAAATTTTATACTCTAATATATAATAAAAATTCTATTACCTTTCAGATAACAGTCGTATAGAGAATGCATTTTATTTTTTATGAAATTCACAAATGAAGAATTTCAGTATAGATTTTGAATCTATTTAGAAACAAAACCCATGATTTAAGATAGCGTTAAATACTGACCGATTTTTTATAAATTAAAAAAAAAAACCAAATTTTGAATCCTAAATTGAACCAAAACCCGTGATTTAAGACAATATCATTTTTTTTTTTAAAAAAAAAAAGTTACTCAAAATGAAATGCAATTAGCGGTTTTATATAACTATTATTTCTAGTTGGACTAACTATTCTCCTCCTCTTCTAATCAACATTTGTTTAGCCAAAATGTTAAATATGAGTCTGTTAGCGCTAGGATGTAAATTAGTTAATATATTAGCCCATTAATACATTTATACTAATTTAAATCTGATTTTAGTGTAAATATTTATTCATTGATAAAAGAAAAAATAACAGTGATGCGTCAGAAAATATCGACTCACCAAGATTGTCAGTCGGACCATTTCGTCTTGATCGCCTTCCATCTCTTAAACCGGATCAACATGCAAAGCACTAGAGACGGGGCCTCGAAGTAGACACTCCAAAGACCGAAGCTCATGTCAGAACCTGCTCAAGTCGCGGTAAATCTAAACCTTTAATCTTGTAATGGTTACAAGACTAACAATCAAGATACATATTATAGTTGAAATCAACCCACCAACTCAGAATAGGGTTCAACATCATATAAAAGACTAATTTTTTATTTTATTTTATAGTCTAATTTGTCAGATCGACTTGGTTCCAGATTGGGTCCGAATCCTCCAAGTCAAAGCATCTTATAGGCTCGAAACAACATTGTCATGTTTAATGCGCGAGCCCAATTTCAATTTTAGTTTGCAACACTAGTCAACAATCTTGGGCCGAGTAGAACACTAGTCAGCACTATTCAACAAGACTGACCTAGCCCAATGGCCATATCTATCTAAGTATGGCAGGGAGTTATGGTGGCGAGTTACTTAGAGCATCTTCAATGTATAAATGTTGTTATTATATAAATTTTGACAATTGTCAATTAAATCAATGGATCGTGAATTACATAAGATGAATGCAAATTTCACAACTTTAATATTTAAACATTATCTCCAATGCACAATGTAATTCATCACAGTATTGTCCACTTGGCCAAAATAAAGATTCTATAAGCAAGGAAGAAAATAAATTAAATAATTAGATATTTGAAAAATGGTAATAATTTTTTCCTCGCATCTCTATTGGTTGGCTAGAATGTAAATGAATCACATTCTTTTCTACATTGTATACACTAATTATGTCCACCTCATACTACATGTGTGATAACATTGTAAAAGTGGAGAAATTACTAAATTTGTTAATGTAAAATGTAATTTACTGCAACTTTATTTGAACGTCAGAAATGTTCTCAAGGTTTTTTTTTTTTTTTCAAACGTATAAATTATATTAACACCAGAACAAAGTACAGACCTTACAATATCCACAAAAACAAACCAAAAGCAATATGGGGAAGTACCAACAAGCCATCTCTACTTCTACCCAAAAGCCACATACACAAAATATACAGAATTAACTAACTCCAACTAACCGAAAACAACAAAACTAAAACTACCTAGTTAATTACAAACCAGTTGAATAGAAATCTAGGACTTAGACTTCCACCCTTCCAGTTAATAAGAGAGATGACAGCTACAACACTGGCTCAAATCTTTGCCCTACCTTCACTGTCATCCTCCTCCGTATTTTCATGATTCCTCCTTTGATCCATTAACAGCTGCATATTCCCTCCACTCCTTCATTGCACCATGAGCTACCTGCTTTTCTGCCAACCACACTTTTTGGAAGATCCAATTGTTTCTTGTACACCATAACCACCACAATAAATAAGTCGTCAGTTCAATTCTCTCTTTCATACACTTTCCTCTGTCCATTAGCATCAAAGCAGCCCACTATTTTCTGAAATCATCTTCTTTATCCTGCAATCCATCCCACCAAATCCCTGATATTTTCCAAATTCTCTGAGCTCTTGTGCAAGAAAACAATATATGCTCTAATGTTTCCACCTCCTCTCCACATTGTTGGCAAATAAGGTCTATATCCACACCTTTCTTCACCAATTGTTCTTTCACTCCTATATATCTATGCCAGCATTTCCACACAAACATTTTTATTTTACCTTTTATCTTTAGGGCCCAGGTTTTCCTCCATATGTTCTTCCTCATGGCTTCACTACCACTGCTCTCTGCCTCATCCTTCTGTAAAGATGTCCTCTGCACCAGGAAGTTATAAACATGCTTGACTGAGTAATATCCTTTTGGACAGTTCTTCCATCCCATTTGATCCCTCTTCCCTTGTGATGGGGGTTTAAGCTTCAGAATTTCAGCAGCTTCAAATGGTAAGAAAGCTTGTTTTATAATTGTTGATAAACGGATTTGATCAACTTTTTATATCTGAACTTTAAGATTAATGCGGTAACGAGACGATTTTATTGAATAACTGGAGAGTACTTAAGAAAACATCAAGTCGGTT